CCCCCCCCCTATGCTCGATGTAATTTTCGTTGGAAATTTTCCACAGCCCCCCTAAATCATGGTAGGGAAAAAGAGTGACCCCCCCTCAAAATCATCATAGCCCACCCTCTAGGTAAATTATGAATGCTCCCTAAGTGCTCATTGTCGTTATTATTTTCTTGAAAGATAAATATGTAAACGAGACAAACCACTTACTTTGCCTAATAAATAAATTATCATTTTGAATCAGTTTGAAGTTTTTTGCATGCAGTTTGACCAAAGGACCTGTGGTCAAATTGCAGAGGTCACAAGAATCCCGCATTTTACGCAAATTATGTGATTATTTCGAAAAAAAATTGGAAAAATCGGGATTTTTGGAATAACTTTCGAGATTTTTAGAGATAAAATTGGGATTTATGGTCAATTTTTGGATAATTTCCAGAAATCAAGTATCCGTTTGCAGGCTACTTGTGGGCGTGCTCTGAGCTTTTTTTAGCTTGTTCCAGGAGGTTCAAAACGTTCAGATTTTCTTTTTTCTCCCTCGCTTTCTCTTCCGCCCTTTTGCGCCTGGGGGCTAGTAGTCTCCCTCGCAGACATTTTTCAGTATCGTCGACAATCGTCGACAGTATCGTCAGAGACTAGGGGGCGAGTAAAGGGAGTGTAGCTAAATGTCGTGGGTTGTGGGTAGTGGGTGGAGGTCGTGGGTCGTGGGTGTGGGTGTGGGTAAATGTCGTGGGTAAAAAAAAAAGTCTTCCAAAAAAAAATTAAAGGTTAAAAATATAAATAGCAAAAAGTTGTTAAATTCATGAAACGAAAATCTCCGCGTACATACCAATCCTACTCCCCTTCCCCGCGGTCAGCAAAGCAAATAAGCGAATCCTCTAGTACAAACTGGCACTAAAAAGACATTTAGGTGAAAAATAAAAGAAACTCCGTGCACTATGCGTGAACCTGAAGTAGGCTACAGAAAAACTGGAGGCTGAACTGCTTTTTCTCAAAGATGTCAACATTCGTGACTGAAACGTCCTTTCAGTTGAAGGAGCGAGTTTCGAATCGTTACAGCAAAGATTTTGTACACAAAACAACAACAACAAAAAAAGAATCGAGAAAGTTGTATGTCGGTGCGGCAATAAAATTTACATACAGTCTCGCCTTAAGTTGAAAGGTTGAGACCTAAAACTTCTATCCAAAAATATGAAATACCTAAAAATTTTCGTTTTTCCCTCCTCTTTCTCACGGTGATCGCATTCCATCGTGTTAAAAAGCCTCCACTGATCACTGGAATTGTAGATCGAATAAAGATAAATAGTGTGCATCTATTTCCATTCAGCGAGTCAGAGCTGCTCCATACTTTCTGCGAATTGCAGGTATAATTTTCGTCTGTTTCGTTTATTTCGCGGCGATAGCTCAGGTATGTATAAATCTTCATCGGCAAAATGTCTTTTATGCAGCGATGTTGTGAAAGGGGAGCCAAGTCCCACAGGAACTTGGAGGACGAAGAAGAAGCCATGACGAAAAAGGCAATCAAGGAGTTGGAGGTTTTCCTTTTCACAAATATTTTACAACTTTTTCCTATATATTTCTTTTTTTCAATTACTTTACTTTATCTTTTTTTTTTTCTATACTTTTTTTACCCACGACATTTACCCACACCCACACCCACGACCCACGACCTCTACCCACTACCCACGACCCATGACATTTAGCTACACTCGAGTAAAGGGGGCGAGATGTGCGCTCTTTTTCGCGCCAAAACTTGGTAGCCGCTCGTCAAAAGACCGCTGATAATTATTTGCTAGCGGAGGGCTAGCGGAATCATTTCTCGTATAACCCATCATGGCCGCCGCAAATGAATCTCACTCGTCTCAGATCTCCATAAAGCAAGTATCCCCAGAAAAAGGAAAAGGCCTTTTTGCTAATACAAATTTCAAAGAAGGAGATATTATTTTTGAGGAAAAGCCATTGGTTTGCTGTCAGTTTTTGTGGAGTGCTATGTACAAATACACGGCTTGAAACAGCTGAGCAAATGGCGCGTAGGCTAACAGGAAATGCGACCTAGGAATTGCCTTATGCAGCCAGGTGCTGTGAAATCGTGCGCTCAGGACAGAAAGTAGTCAACTGCCACCGCTGCCAGGTATTTCTTGTACTTATTAGTTGCAGTCCTCTTAATTTGTACTACTTTGTATTTTATATTTTGGCTAATTTGGCCACTTACGATCCGGCCAGTATTCGGAAATCAACCGATGCACGTGGTGGTAAATACGGTCATGTTGAAACGCAGACCATGCAGACTGCAGACTGCAGACCGTGCAGACTGTGCAGACTGAGTGTTATTTTTTTAACTTGTACCTTAATTTTCTAGTAAAATTTTTTTTACTCATTATGTGGACTGTGCATCACCATCATATGTGCACTGATGTGAACCTGCGAGGGTCGTGGGTAAGAAATGAGAAAATCACGGGCTCATGTTTACCGGCAACTGTAAAATCAGTTTCGCGTGCTTTTAGCTGCACCGCTTTGACGCAGGAGCAGGTACGATGGAGGAAGGTAAGCTGTTTCTTTCTGTAACTGTTTTATATTGCCACGATTATTTATTATTTTAGTAGAAGCTTTTTCAGGTTAAGTGACTTAAAATAAAACCCTTTTCGGCTTCCTACAACGGCTACGAGAGAGACATTTCCTCAATTTCCTTGATTGTTGATGATCGTCTTTGGTTTCACTCTGTAATTCAAACCGGTGACTTGCCGTCATTTCTTCAAATCTTACAGGTACCGAAGTACTGAAAATTTAAATAATCGTGGCAATATGATACAGTTACAGAAAGAAACAGCTTACCTTTCTCCATCCTGCTCGCTCCTCCGGGAAACTATGGAAAAAATTTTACTAGAAAATTAAGGTACAAGTAAAAAAAAATAACACTCAGTCTGCATGGTCTGCACAGTCTGCAGTCTGTATGGTCCGCATTTCAACATGACTGTGGTAAATACTACTTGTACTAGTAATCGAAAATTTTGGTGCATCGCCCTAGGGAATTACGCATCCAGCTGGGATTGTATAAATATAGTCATTGCTTTTCTGATCAGGCTTTGATCTGAGAAATATTTAGAGAAGAAAGAGATTAATCTATGTAATATTTAAGAAAGAAGAGGATTTTGCCTTGCCATAATGCATCAGTCAACTCCAACTGAACCCAGTCCTCAGGCATTAGCATTTTTTTTCTCAGGAGCAGGGACTCATGAGGTGCCAAATCCCCTGGGTTGGATACAAATAATGAGGGCAAATGCCCTGTCCTCCATCAACACTGCAACATTTTTCATTGACTGCACAGTCAAGTAGTAATTATTCGATAACAACCAATCAGTGTTAAGTCAAACAATGCACACTGTGTGTCAGCCTATCACAGCATGTTCCCAAGATCTTGGGAACCCAGCAGGATGCTGGAACACGATTAGTGACGGCGTTACACAGACATCCCTTTTCAGTGTGCAACAAAGGAAATAGGAGACGTCTTCAAGTAGGTAACACCAGATCCTGACAAGATGAAGAGCATATTTGAATCTTTTTGTCATTCTGTAGTCAACAAAGGACAATAGATTGTACATATGTTAATAGGAGATAAGTTCAAGGTTAGAAATCAGTCCTATGTTTAAGACTTGTATCTAAAACAAGAAATATTAACCAATGTTACTTGGTGTTTGTTAGTTACAGTAGTTGATACCCGCCCTGTCATTTTAGAAGTTTCCCATTAGAATATTCTGTAAACAGTAAAAGAGACTTGTCCTCCTCATTAAGTATCAAAATTGTCCTGAATTCACTACACTTGATTATTACCTGTGTTATTTTGTTAAAATTTTCCTTAAAATGTTTTTCTGTCTTTGTTGCTGTTAGGAACAGTTAGACATTCTGAGAAAATGCTTTTATCCAATGCTCTCTTTGATGAGAAGTTAGAGCAGGTATGAAATTTAATTTAAAAAACTCATTAATAATTCATAAAGAAAAAGCAAAAGAAAGTAATGTTTAACGAGTGTCTTTATATCTGATAAAGACATGGCTAAACTTTATGTCCAATATTATATTACATTCATTCCCACCCATCCCCCAAAATACTTGCCTCCCTGTAACTTGTATTGAAATGGATGACTTTTTACGACGTTTGTTTCGATCAAATTGTGAAGCACGGCTGATGTAGCTTAATTTAAAACACTTTTTCAGTCCAGTTATAAGCCCCCCCTCCCTCCCCATTTCCCGAATATAAGCCTTCTTAAAACCCCTTAAAAAATTGTATAAATCCAGGTCTTATAATCCGGACCAAGAGAGGATTTATAAAGGGGCTATCCTTTCTTGTCTGAACTTAATGGTATTCGCAATTTGGTGGCTAGAAACATACCCTGTAGACCAAGGATAAGCGTTTAGTTGTGTCATTTTTTTTTTTCGATCATGACGACGTCTAACTAAGGTTCCTTGTTGACTGTTGTTGCCAAAAAGATTGCTACTGTCGAGCCACATATCCAAACTCAGTTTAGAAACTAAGCAACATAACGAGAGTTTTTATCCTTTTCCGATAACTTTGATTTGTCTTCATCTTTCTCTCTTTTGTTCCTGATAAACCGATTTGTGTGGTCATTTTGCAGACTGACGATGAGCACAGCCAAAAAGACCAAGATTGTTCGTCACCACCCACCATTCGCCGCCCCATTCCCATTCGCCCCTGGCCTATTTACAATATTTACACGGTCTGCATACTTTTGTCCTCTTTTTCTGTTGGCGTCTGAGTAAAAGTCGTGGTTGTTAATGGACGTGGCGGTGGTGGAAGTTCGATAGGTATGGCAAGTGAATAATGGTGGTGGATGTGTGACGGGCATGGCGTTTGAAACCTCATCATCATTAATTAATGGCGAGGATTTGTCGTGGAGGGAGTGAATGAGATCTGACCCATGTGTGGTGAGGGGGGTTAGTAAATGAATTGTGGAAGATGTGATGACGATGACGACTATGATGATGGTGGTGGGGGTGAAGGTGGTGGTCGCACGATACTGGTGATGGTGGTTGAGGTGGTTCTGGGAAGGGTGGGACAAATAGTGTAAAAAAAACATCTTGTAAATAAGTAATACTGTAAATATTGTAAAGCAAAAATGAGGACGACAAATTTTAAAATAAGCGTGTTCAGTTTTGTTAGCAGCATTTTCACTTTATATCTGATTTGTGTAAATTTCATTTTAATTTGCCTTTTACAATAAAATTGTTATTATTATCTCTTCCGCCCTTTTGGCCCTGGGGTCGTTTTCAGTATCGTCACGCAACGCTTAGGCTCGATTTCCGCCGTCTCCCAGGTCCAGTCTTTCATCTATGAAGTTGATCCTCCCCGAAGAGAGAGGGGGATGAGTGCGGGCTCATTTTCCCGAACAGCGGCTGTTAATAGAGCCTACACAACGCTCCTCCCCACAACGTTGCGTGACGATACTTAAAAACTGCTGCGAGGGGACCCTGGGAGGGAGACTAGAGGGCGAACTGTCCGCTCTTTTTCGCGCCAAAACTTGGTAGCCGCTCGCCAAAAGACCGCTGATAATTATTTGCTCGCGGAATCATTTCTCGTCTAATCCAACATGGCCGCCGCAAATGACTCGTCTCGAATCTCCATAAAGCAAGTATCCCCAGAAAAAGGAAAAGGCCTTTTTGCTAATACAAATTTCAAAGAAGGAGAAATTGTTTTTGAGGAAAAGCCATTGGTTTGCTGTCAGTTTTTGTGGAATGCTATGTACAAATACACGGCTTGTGGCTTTTGCATGAAATCTCTTGAAACAGCTGAGCAAATGGCGCGTAGGCTAACAGGAAATGCGACCTTGGAATTGCCACATGCAGCCAAGTGCTGTGAAATCGTGCGCTCAGGACAGAAAGTAGTCAACTGCCACCGCTGCCAGGTATTTCTTCTACTTATTAGTTGCAGTTTTAATTGTACTACTTTATAATAATGTCTATATTCTGGCTTATTTGGCCACTTACGATCCGGCCAGTGTTCGGAAATCAACCGATGCACGTGGTGGTAAACACTACATGTACTAGTAATCGAAAATTGTAGTGCGTCGCCCTAGGGAATTACGCACCTAGCTGGGATTGCATAAATATAGTCATTGCTTTTCTGATCAGGCTTTGATCTGCGAAATATTTAGAAAAGAAAGAGATTAATCTATGAAATATTTAAGAAAGAAAAGGATTTGGCCTTGCGATAATGCATCATTCAACTCCAACTGAACCCAGTCCTCGGGCATTGGCCTTTTTTTTTTCTCAGGAGCAGGGACTCATGAGCAGGCAAATCCCCTGGGCTGGGTACAAGAAATGAGGGCAAATGTACTGTCCTCCATCAACACTGCAACATTTTTGATTGACTGCACAGTCAAGTAGTGCCATTTTAAGCATTTTAATGTGCGATTTTTTGTTTCAATTATTAATGTCTGCCATTGTAATAGTGCTATTCTAATTAACACTTCACGCAGCGACAACACCAGTTTATGGTTTTAGTACTGTTATAAAATTATTGACATTAGAATTAATAGTGTGCTGTTAAGTTATCTGTTCAATGATATAAACAGAAATTTGATTAAGTAAGCAAAAAATGTTGATTCACATTTTATCACTATATAATTCTGGCTTGATAAGCAATGAAGAAATGCATGCATAAAATCAAGAACCTGCCTTTTTAACCCTCTACAATTTTTTCCCATCCTTGACAGATGAGCCAATCTATTTGTCTTTCCAATAAAAACCTCTGTGTAGTTATATTCAGATAGGAAATCACATGCGTGTCCAAAGTTCAGGGGTGGTCCCAGGCTGGTAATGCCCGACCCCTGGGCAGCACCCAATTTGCTAATGCCTTACCCCCCGGGACTGACAAGGGTGGCAAATGCCCCGCAGTAGCCCAGGGGGAAGGGGGCTGGGTGCAGCTGGAATTGACTGATAAATAAAACCACAAGGAACATTGTGGAACATTCTGGACATGATGGTATTGAGACTTCAAGATGCTATTGTGACATTTCAAGATGGTGCAGATTTCGAACTGAGAGCCTGTTTTGTTGATTTCTCAGGCTTAGGAACACTTTGCACAGACTGCCCACAAAATCACAGAACACCCAAAGACTCAATTAGGGAGTGTCTCCCTCATTGACATAACTAATCACATTAAGTTGAGGGTTCTTCTTTTTAAATTAGGTCATTACCGGACATACACAAATTATTATTATAAACAGACAGCGATGGGGGTGCTTATTATAAGGTGGCTTTTATACAGTGTATTTGGAATTTCAACCTCAAGTTGACATTAATGTCATCTTATAGTTTTTGTCTGCTCATTTTGTATTGTTATGTATTGAACATATTCTAAATCTCTGTTTTGACTTCTTTTACTCCAAATAATAAGGCGACTTTTGCATTGCAATCTTTAGGTGACGTATTGCAGTGAAGAATGTCGACAGACTGCTTGGGAACAGTATCATAGAATGCTTTGCTTAGGAGAAAATCAAGGGGATCCTAGTCATCCACTTGAACAGCTGCAAGAAGCATGGAGGTTATTTTCCTGTTAAGAACATTCACAAAGTTAATACAACTTTTTTTAACCTTTTCATTGTCTTTGGTGTTTTCTAATTTTAAAGGATTTTGTTAGTTGGTGTAAAATGATTGTGAGAAGGGTCAGAAATCTTAATGTG